CACTGCCCTTTGCCAACACATTTTCACTTTAGTCATCTTCTGAAGAAGGATTATACCACAGATGGATTTGTTTGTCCACACGCACATTTTCAGTTGCTTCCCACATGGTTTTCTAATAACGAATGCTACTATAAACATCTCACAAGTGTGTCATTACTTATTTCTTTTTATTACCTGGATTATTCCTAAAAATAATTTCCCAGGTGTGAGATTATGTGGCCTCCGTTAGTATCTCCAGGTTAAGTCTGACACCTTCTTATGTCCTGGAGTTAAAGGTTGATGGTGAAAAATTGTAATTACATTCATTTGCCTGCCCTGCCATGCCCTGGCATGAGGACAATGAGGGCTAATGAGCTGCTTGGGCGCTCAGTACAGATCATTCTGCATTGCTTCATTCCTCTCTTTCACCCAACCCCGCAACGATTTCTATAGTTAGACAAATCTGGGCTCAATGTTCCAAGCTGTTAGCAAAAGTCTTGGGTGTGTGTAAACAATTTTGAGCCAGGTATGCCCCTACCTCCTTGTTGTTGTTAAGTGCTGACAAGTTGGTTCCGACCCATAGCGACCCTGTACAGGGTTTCGGAGGAGTGACCGGTGAGCTTGAACCACCAACCTTGCAGTTCAAATGACTTTGCAGTCTGGTGCATTAACCCACAGCGCCACACCAGGACTTCCCCTTAGCAGTATGTTAATTTGTGTGTTTTAAGCAGACCATTGAGGTCTGATGGTTCACACTTTACAAAACAATCCTAAATCACTTAACTAATAAGTGGTCCTTGGGGCCCTGAGGGGGTTATTTGCAGATGACGGATGGCTGGGGGTGAGGGATAGAAGAGCATCCAAGGACCGTTAAAGCTGAAGCCTGGGATAAAGTGCCCATTACAGATTCATCAGGAATGAAGACAAAGCATAAATAACCCTGCATAAAAGGACATAAAGCGGGGAGGGCTGGTCCCTTTATGAGGAACACCTACGAATACTCCCAGCATCAATCTGGGTATGCCCCGGAAGTAATCCCATTTATCAAGTAATCGGGCACTGAATAGAGACTCAGGCCGTTTATACTTAACTGCCCTCTGGCTGCTGACAATACATAAAGCAAATGAGAAGAAAATTGCAATAAACTATATTTTTCTGTTCATCTTCAGCCCTCAGTGATTAAAGACGACAAATTGAGAAACACAATCCCATCAACAACTTTATAATCAGTCTCACTTTTCAGTAACAAGTTTCTGCAGTCCCCACAGTGGGCAACACTCCTGGAGTCTGAATTACCCCTCAGGGCTGAAGTCACAGCCCGTGGCATGTCTGCATTTGTACTGAGGAGTCTGAGGGGAAGAGGTGGAGGCTCTGAAGGAAAATACTGAGCTTGTGGCAGGCACTATGAAGAATTAGAAGGGCAAAGTCAGTTGTCATCTGCACCGAATGTGGGGTGTCTTCAAGACACCATCTTCAATAGAGATTGTGAAAGCTCCAAGGGTTACACAGCAGCCAGGTGGACTGATACCAGAAGCAGGCTGGGGAATATTTAGAACATGCCAGAATGTTACTGAACCATGGGGAAGTGGTAGGTGCTCTGTGGAGGAGCAGAGCAAGGTGAGGAGACCCTCTTCAAGACTGGTCAGGAAATGTCATAGAAGGAAGAACCCACCAACCAACCAGTTTCCATGGAGTTGAGTCCAGCTTATAGTGACCCTCGTGTTCAGGGCAGATTTGTGCTTTGTAAGGTTTCTAATGGCTGACCTCTCAGAAGTAGATTGTCAGGTTTTTCTCTGAGGCACCTCTGAACCACCAACCTTTCTGTTAGCAGCTGAGGACTTAGCCATTTGCAGCACCACCCAGGGACCCTAAAGGAGGCATGCCTTCAAACTATACTCCAATGGCAGGGTGAGGAGGGGGGGCGACTTACTTCACGCAGGCGTGGAGTAGTCCCTGAGCAGGTCCCCTTTGGAATGGAGCTCCAGGGAGGCTTAGAGAGGAGACAGGAAGAGGGAGGCAGGGGGCCTGTGCTACAGCCCTGCCTTCTGAAATTCTAGTCTCTGGCTTGCCAATAAAGTCAACTCGTTTTATCTCTGGTAAAATGCCCTTGGAAATGGTTCCTGTGTTTCCTCCCAACTAATTTCATTTGTTGGCATATGCAAATGTCTCTTAATGAAAGCAGGGTTTGTTTTCTGGACTTTAAGAGTTGCACATTCAAAGTGGAGCTGAGGAGGGGAACTTGGCCTTTGGCGCCCACAGAACAGCATGGCGTCCAGGCAGGCCGATGATTCAGAGTCAAATTTTATCCTCAAATTTCTAAAGAACGGGAAATGCCTCCGGGGCCCTCGTGATTCCCCAGCTGCTGCCTCCCCGGCTCTGCTTCCACAGAGTCTGCCTTTCCAGGGTTTCTGACATCCGAATCTGCCCTGACAAAGTGGCTCTGATTGTGGGGAGCGGGGAGCGGATCCTAAATCAACAATACCCCACTTTCCAGTCTTAACACCACTGAGAAACAGTGATCAAATGCAGACTAGTGTCTTAAACTTTTCAGACAATTTTATCGCTGAAATGAGTAACCCTGATGGCACAACGGATGAGGTGTTGGGCTGCCAGCCAAAAGGTCAGCGGTTCGAACCCACCAGTTGCTGTTCAGGAGAAAAATGAGGCAGTCTGCTTCCGTAAAGATTGACAGCCTTGGAAACCCTATGTCCCATAGGGTGGCTGTGAGTCACAGTCGACTCATGGCAGTGGAGGGATGGGGGTTCTCGAAAGCTATAAGACGCAATGAAAGAGACACATGGAGAGCTGAAAACCAATGGGGCTCTCTCCACGCCACCCACGTGACCTGACACAGCCCTTACTGTCTGCTGGTCCCTCTCTAGCTTACTCTTCCAGCCTTAGGGGTGTTGTCCTCTGTGGTTTTCTTTCTTTTTTCAAAACGTATTTTCATTTTGTTGTTGTTGTGAATATGCACAGCACAACAATCTCTGCAGACACACTTCAGTACCATTGAGGCCGTTTTTCAGGTTGTGGTGCCGTTCTCACCTTCTGTTCCTCTCCACGTCTTAGATGTGGGCATGGCCAACATGCTCTCACCTCAGGGCCTTTGCACTTCATCTTCCCGCTGCCTGGAATGCTCTTCCCCAGATATCCCCACGGCCATTCCTTTGCTTCCATCCACTCTTGACTCAGTGCTGCCTGCTAAGTAAGGTCCTCCTTGGCCTTCCGACCTAAAATTCTAAACCTCCCACCACTTAACATCTCTGGCTTTATTACTTTCTTCTTAGCGTCTCACCAACATTGTCTTGTTTTGTCCTTATTCAGTGTGTCTCCTAGCTCTCTCCTTAGCCAGAATGTAAATTCCAAACAGGATTTTTCTGTGTTTTGGGCACTGCTATAGTCGTGTGTGGGGCTGTGGGTTAATGTGCCAGACTGCAAAGCCGTTTGAACTGTAAGGTTGGCAGTTCAAATGCATGAGCTGCTCTATGGATCGGAACCATCTTGACGGCACTTAACAACAACAACAACAACAAGATAGTCGCGTACTTAGAAAGCACTGAGGGAATAAATGACTGAGTTGGCAGACAGAGCATGAGTTCCGTTTTCTCCAGGGACTAAGGCACCTCTGCAGCTCAGCATGAGTGCTTCTTTTCCACTCTCTCTTTTCCATAGCTCTGGCTACGGAGGGGCAAACTCTTTGGAATTAGTGCCTCTAAGTGTTGGGGATTATTAAAGAGCTTACCATGACAGAATTCGGCAAGCTGCTCACCAAACTTGCTTCCCCTTGCTGAATCCACAGGCACTGTATATTTTGTAACATTGTAGGACTGGCATTGAACTGCAAACCACAAAGTCGGCAGTTCAAACCCACTAGCTGCTCTTCGGAACCCCTGTACAGGTTCATTATGTTTGGAACCAATTCAACGGCATTTAACAACAACAACAAAAATGTATTTTTCAGGACTCTGTGCACCTAAGTGGGGGTGCTTCTAGGGCCGGCCCCTAAACCACTCTGTGCAACTGTGTTCATGTTCTCTGCTCACTGGCCTGTTGAATACGGAGAATCCAGTTGGGGGGACAGGAGGCCCTCAATAGCTATTGGATCAAAGGAAAGATGGAGCCTGTGTTCTTGACTGACTGGATGCATCAATGTCCTCACCAGTCCATACCAGTGACTGTGGGACAAACCACAAGAAAAAGCCACAACTATGGAACACAGTCCTGGTGTGGTGCTGCAGAATAAGCACTGGACCACAAGGTTAGTTTGAACTTCAAGGTTGGAGGTTCAAACCCACCAGCTGCTCCTCAAAAATTCTATATAGGGTCGCTATGAGTCAGAACCGACTCGATGTCACTTAGCAACAACAGCAGTGGAAGATACCTGCGTTATGGGCTGAGCTATGGCGAACAGGCTGGTACAGCAGCCCTGAAACGATTCTAGAGGTCATCACCGGGCCAAGAAAGCACCACTTTAGGCAACACTGCTTTCTTGCTAGAGATCACATTCCCAAGAGAAACACAATTGGCTTTTCCTAATTGCAAGTCCAACCTCGCTAGACTTGGGGGCGGGGAAGAGCTATTTAAACACTTTCTCAACTCAAACAGTCTTCTCCCTTAAAAAAAGACTATGGATTAGACACATGAGTGGCAGTTGAGCTATCTTTTTGCAAATGGACTTGCGGGAACTAGAACCCAATCCCATTTTGAGATTCTGAAAACTTAGAAGTCACTGTCTTGGTCCATGTGCATGTTGGTGTGTGATATGGGTAATGCGAGAGTTCCACTGTCTACGCTGCACGTTGTCTTGTTCAATTTGGGGTTTTTATGAAGAGAAGATCATTTCTGTGCACATTTAACATCATCTAGTCTCACGGGCGGGGGTGGGGGGGTGCGGTTTCCCTTTTGCACTTGGCCAATGAAGTCAGACCAGCTTCAGCCACATGACACAATCAGCCCAGATGGAGGGAAGGTAGTCACACCCTACAGCAATAAACAAACATAAGTGTGCAGTGAAACGTTACCTGGCCAGCTAGCATTTCATATAATAGGACGCCATATGCCCACCAGTCCACAGATTTCCCATACGGCTGATAAGCGATTATCTGTGTGGGAAAGAAAAAAATTAATTGGATTTAGTGGTCAATCAGATAGCCCTTGTTGGAGGAATGCAAATGTTAAAGCGAACAGCAGGAAATATTCTCAACTGATGGTACCTGTGTGGGAGGGGAGGGGGATTGCAATTATTGTAATGAAGCAAAATACAAGATTTATTGAATGTAAAATTGATGAGCTGCTCTGTAAACCTTCACTCAATTCACAATAAAAAGTTTAAACAAACAAAAACAGCATCTATTAAGATAGGTAAGTCAAGCAGGTAGGTGTGTATACACTCAGTTCATGCACATTAGATCATGATAGTAGTTACCTTTGATTTCTGCACCAAGGAAACAGGGTCTTTCTAATGAGCCACACCCAGAAATGGCACCCTACAATCCACTGCCCAAAACTTGTTTTGAAACTCTTCTGAGTCCACCTGAAGATACCACAGCACTGTTTGAAAGCAGCCTTGAATATCCTCATTGGTGAGAAATGGTTGGACATCGTGGTGGGTTTAATTTTCAAAAAAACTCAGAGGTTATTCAGAGATAACTTCACTGTCATCGAGTCGGTTCTGGGTCATGGTGACCCTCTATAGGGATTCTGAGACCTTAATCCTTCATGGGAGCTGATAGCCTCACCTTTCTCCCACAGAGTGGCTGGTGGGTTTGAACTGCCAAACTTGTGGTTAGCAGACCAACGCCTAACCCACAGACCCACAGCACCACCAGAACTTCTTTATTCAAGAGATTTGTTTTTGTCATTAAGGGCCGCAGAGTCGGTTCCGACTCACAGCGACAGGGTCTGATAAAGAAGATGATTAATCAGTGTAAAAGTTCAGCTAAAAATAGTAATGGTAATGATGAGGAAAATTAGGAGGAGGAAGAGGGGAAGTAAAAAGAAGACTAAAACTTCCAACTTTCTGTTGCACTTAAAGTTGAATGACTGAAGTTTCTAAAATGTTTTCATAGAAAAGGAAAAAGATAATGCCATATGTGGACCTTGCTTGAATCTTGATTCAAACAAACCAACTGTAAAAAAAAAGACTCATTGAGGCAACTGAGCAAACCGAAACATGGTCTGGATATGAGATGCTATTAAGGGATCCCTGCCAATTTTGTTAGGCGGGATAATGATACGGTGACATGTTAAGAAGGCTGCATCTTAGTTAGAGCTGCTCTTTGAAGTAGTGATGGGCGAAATGATATGGTATCTTAGATATGTCTTATGTATTTCAATAAAAAGGTAATGGAGGTGGATGAAGTGAATTAGCTAAAGTAGGCAACTGTTGAAGGGGGGTGATAGGAACCCGGGGGCCTCATTCCACTCTTCTCCGAAACTTTGTCTATCAGTAGCTCTGACAAACACACTATGACCTCCGTAGAGAAGGGCTAATTTGTGACAGGGATTTGTAAGTGTGGCATGACGTAGTATTAGAACACCGGTCTCATTATCTCACAGGGAGGCTGCCAGCTGATGTACACAATCCCCACTGATCCGAGTTGAATTCATGGAAAACTGGAATGAAAAGACAATGGGATTTTTCCACGAACAATCACCTTGTAGGAACAGATAACACCATAAACTATGCTGTCGTTTTACACATGAATAGGACTTACAAATGTTCTAGAATATTTTCTGTCGATGGTGTAATTCAAGTGTCCTGGGACCTAAGGACACTTTCTGATGCCAGTCCATATCCATTCCCTGAACTTATTACTCATATTTCTCCACGAAGATTCGAAATGCAAATTCTTATCATCTGCCTGAGTGTGGGTGGCAGCATGGGCTACATGTTTGGATGTGGCAGGCCTGTAGCACATTGATCTGACAAGCAAATGACAACGGGAAATTTACAAGGAGTCCTTAAATTCCTTGTGAAAACTACATTTGTTCTTTACTGAATGTTCTTTTCTGAAAACTTGGCAACACACACACCAAAGAGCATACACACACACACACACACACACACACACACACAAAACCACTCCAAAGCAAGTTTCTGATCTGCTGCCTAGAGACGATTGGGGTTAACACTTTGAGATAAGTCATTCCTATTTCCTGACAGGCAGCAACTGCATCAAATGAGCCTAGTATTTCATAACCTTGGATAGAATGGCAATTGGCTCTCCACAAGGTTTGGAGCAATTGACACCCCGATCTTATGTCCATTTCATCATATTTTCCATTGTTGTTGTTGTTAAGTGTTGTTGAGTTGGTTCCAACTCCTAGTGACCCTGTATAGGTTTTCTGAGGAGCTGCTGGTGAGTTGGAACCACCGACCTGTGGTTCAACCTGATGTCGAGATCAAGTGCTTAATGATGCCACACCAGGACTCCATTAGAAGGTAAATAATTATATATATGTATTTGTATGTATATAACCCACTGCCATGGAGTCAGTCTCGGTTCACAGCAACCCTATGTAGAGTTTCTGAGGCTGTAAATCTTTATGGGAGCAGAGAGCCTCATCTTTCTTCTGTACAGTGTTTGGTAGGTTTAAACTGCTGACCTGTGGTTAACACTCCAGTATTTATTCTACAGTGCTACCAGAGCTCCTCTATATGCATACATACATGTATGTGTATATACGTGTATATGTATGTACACACACACACACACACACACGAGGCAGCTTCAAAAAGTTTATGGAAAAACAGAATTAAAAGATAATGAAATTTGTCCATGTGTTTTTTGAAGCCTCCCCCTTGTTTTCTATATATACATATTGTTGTTGCTGTTGTCAAGTATTGCAGACCGTCCAGACCCGGTCAGGAGTTTGAGGCCCTGTGGGCCCGAGTGTTGCAGACCATACAGGCTGCAGGCGCTGAGGAACAGTCTCTAGCCACTTAGCAGACATAGCAAACTGTTTTTCATCTTAGTATTCAGTTATGTTTATTAATTAATTGCATATACGAAGCCTTGATATCCACAGATAAATGTGATATTTTCCTAAAAGCCGAAACTGTAAAATTCCAAAAAGGCAAAGTTCTTCCCTCAAAGAATTCATTCAAAGTAAATTGGGTGGCTCCCCGGGTCTCTGTTTTTTTTTAAGAACAAAAGAACTGGCCCGCCTAAAGTGTTTCCAGGTGCAGCCCATTCACCTAGGCGCCTTGCTTCTTCCTGAGAAACCTGGGCTGGGCAGCCAACACAATGGGAATCCTCCCAATCCTCCTTTTCCTTCCCCCATTTGAGGCAAGGTGTTAAAAGGTATGTTAATTAAGCTTAAGAAACCAAGTTGCAGTCCTGAGATTCGAATCTGTGAAGGTGCCTGAATGTCTGGAAAATTAAGTATGTTAGCTGTACCTTGTCTTAGTTCCGCCCAGCTTTGTGTAAAGTACCTCCCCTAAATAAAACGGAGGTGCAGACCGATCCAGGTATGCATTACAGCGTGGAGGGCATGTTATACGGCTGACTAGGCATGTGTGGCTGACCAGCTAGCAAGGGGAATGTACTGCCTGCATAGCTAAGATGTTTACTATGCGGGATCTTACTGCCCTCATGGCGAATATGTTCACCATGCCGGATCTGCCGGACGACAGTAATGCATCCACTCTGGTTTCGGGGTGTCTCTTTGTCTCTCTCTCTGTGTCCTAGTGTGTCTTTCTATATCTTTATCGTCGCCAGATATCCCCACCTCGTGAACCAAACACTCGTGTCGAGGCAGTTAAGTGCCATTGAGTTGGTTCCGACCCATAGCGACCCTACACAGGGTTTCCAAGGAGCAGCTGGTGAGCTTGAACTGCTGACCTTGTGGTTCAAACAGACTGCAGTCCAGTGCATTAGCGCTCTCTCTCTCTCTCTCTCTCTCTCTCTCTCTCTCTCTCTATATATATATATATATATATAAACATACATATAAACACAGGTTTTTTTTGTGTTGGAACCGACTCCATGGCACATAACAACAACAAATATATATACACACACACAAGAGCCCTGATAGCACAGAGAATAATGTGTTGAGTGTCTAACCACAAGATCAGCAGTTCAAGTCCACCAGGAACTCCAAGGGAGAGAGATGAGGCTTTCTACTCCCATAAAGATTTACAGCTTTGGAAACCCTACACTATTAGTCAGAACTGGTTTGAGCGCACACCACCATATATATATATATAT